CTTCAGTGGTGGAAGTTTGAAAGATGTGATGTGGTGGAAGGGGAGAGACCGCCCACTGAGCTGTGCACCCTTGGACGAAGTGCCTTTCCCTCCCAGGGACTCCGTTTTCCCGAGTTCAAATCCACGGAGGGTGGGGACCCAGCTGTCCTGCGGAAAAAGGCCTTGTGATGTGTACCGTGTCTGCATTTCCACGTGTGCATTTATTGTTATTGCTCAGGATAGTGTTGAAAAGGCAGACAAATCCCATTAATTACAAAGAGCACAAGCCAGAGATACAGAGAAATAAAGAGTGTACAATAAGAGCACAGTCACTTCCCAGCCCCGATTGTCCCAGAGCCCCCCCCAGAGCCCGGGCAGCTTGTGGAAGCTGGAGCGGCACCATTTCCTCGCTACTCTGTTATAAAATATGTGCACACAAGAGTTAGCAAAGTGTGGCGACCCCCAAGAGGAAAGGTCCGGAGGGAGAGCACCACAGGCATTACAAAACAGACTTAGGGGGCTGAGAAGGTCCCAGAGCAGCCTCAAAGGTCTTGTTTTTGGTGGAGGGGGTGATGACTGATGCCCAGGGCCTGGGATCCCCTTCCCTCTACTTGGTTGAGTAGGATCTCTACATCACAACAGGAGAGCTTGCTTTAGAACTTGGAAAAGACCTGGCTGGGGATTTTCTGCTGTTGTTTGATAGGCCTTGGCTCTGGAACACCCAGAGCCTTCAAGAAACACACCCCTCCCATCTTCTAATGGGATCTCAGACACTATGGAGGGAGTTTAGGGTGGGAGGCATGTCACAGTACACCCAGCTGACAGCCTCCCATAAGTAGAGCACGAATGGGTAGGGGGGGTTAGGGTAGTGTGAAGGTCCAGGAAAGAAATTGCTGCATCCCAAAGGGCCTATCACACAACCGCTGAAAAAACTTTGAATAAAGAACAAGAAGTGACCCCTCCCACCCCTGCCAAAAAAAAAAAAAAAAAAAAAAGGCAGTTCCGGAAAGGGAGACAGGAATAAAGATTTCTTCATGAGGAGAACTAGAAGTAAAAACAACTGGGCCACGCAAATCTGGTAGCTCCGGGTGTGGGAGAGAGCCCTATTCCTCTTCTGGACTGGGGCAGATGGAGGGTCCACCCCAGCATAACCAAGGTGGGTGACTTTGGGTCCCAAACTGAGATTGGGGTGGGGAGCTTGGTGGCCTCTCCTGGTGACACCCTTGCTTAGGGTACAGGTGAGATGGTGGGAGGAACTTCTGGCTTCCGCCCAAATTTAGGATGCTCTTTTTGTTTCTTCTTACGGGACACTCTATCTAGTGACCCTGAGTGAACAGTACTTACAATGGCAGAAAGGAAGCCCTTTGCATATAGAATGACAGGGCCCTTGGGTGGGGGAAGGGTAGGGGTGGAAGACGTGGCAACATTTTAAAGTTTACTTAAAAGAATAGCTGTGAGACAATAACCAGGATATTTTGTTAAAAAAAGAAAAGGAGGGACTTCACCCTCCTCCACATGATAAAACATTATATAAAGCAACAGTAATTAGAACTGTATGGCTGGTGCCAGATGAGACACCCAGATATGGGAACAGAAGAGAAATTCCAGAAATAGACCCAAATCTATATAAGCTATCAGTATGTGGTACAGGTGGCATTTCAGCATGGTTGGGAAAAGAGCAGCTATTCAATAAGTAGGCTACCCAGGATGAGACGGGTCCAGAGTCCTTGGCCCAGTACCGCCATTTTCAGTGGTCTGGTCTCAAAAGCAGGGCACCCTCCCTCTTGTCTACTCTGTGTTCTGATTGGGACAGGGGGGCGAGGGGGCCATGGTGAGGGGTCGGTGGGAGCAATGGAGGCTGCTTCAGAATTAGGGAAAGCGCTGCCTGAGTCGCAGGGAGGAAATATTCCTCCCTGCCCACCTCCAAAGGTGGGCAATTCTCCAGCCCCAGGGGTCACTGAATGGGCCCCCTGCTCTTCTCTCATCTGTTGAGGGGAGATAAGTAGCTGAGCTTAGACCTCAGAATGAATCTGCTATCTTCTCCTGGAGCCCTTGTCCAGAGGACAGAGAAGAAGCTAAGTGGATGGTGCAGTCCCAAACTGGAAAAAATTATATATACATTACAGAGTATATATTTGCTGTGTTCTGTTTGATGTTGGTTTTTTGCCTTTTTTTTTTTTTAAACCACAGACATTTCAGAACCACGCTGCGGGAGTAAGAAGAGTCAGCAATTGAAAGCATAACCATTGCATAGTATTAAATGAACAGAGACGGTGAGTTCTTTATTTACAATTATTGTCTAGATAAAAAAATTCATAAAAACAGATGAATGGTCATAAATTATTGACCCCCTAATGGGGTGAACTGCCAAACGTACCCCATGCTGCTAGATATAGGACGCAGAGTGCAAGCTTTATGTACTACAGTGAGTTTTGACAAACCAATCATTTCCTCTGTGTGTGTGTGTGTGTGTGTGTGTGTGTGTGTGTGTGTGTGTAAGCATCCATCATTCCTGACAAGAAAAGACCAACACTGAGGTTGGGTGTCCTCGGTCACTTCCACTGCTCCCTGTTCCCCAAGCTAGGCTCCGCTCAGAGAAGGCCCTCCTGTCTTCCCTGTGTCCCGGCTCCGAACGAACAAGGAGCGTGGTGGGCAAGCACGGCTTTCCTGCTGTCGGGGAATGAGGTCATGGACACAGGATTGGAACCAAGAAGGTGGGGAGATGGAAAACCTTGAGAAAGGAAACTACAAAAAACACCATGTTCCAAAGTTGCTCCAGGTTTTTTCACATGTGCAGGTCTTTACTTTCTCGGCAGGAGAACAACGGGCTGGCTTTTGGCGGCGTTTGTATCGGAATCCAATAAGCACATCTGAGGGCTGGCCACCCCTTTGGGGATGCAGTTTCCTCTGCTGGGTACATTCAGAGAGATTCCTTCACGACATTCAGGTGATGCTCTCGCACACAGAAGGTCCTCCTTCTAGGAAGGTTTTGCCAGGTGGGATGGGCTGACTTGGGATCCCAAAGCCTCAGGTTCCTTCACAGCCACCCAGCCGTAGGCCCTCCCAGCTGACTATGGCTCTTTTCCCAAGTGGCTCTCATCTTGTTTGTGGAAGAATTCTCTGGGCCTGGAGAAGGGAAGGGCTGAGATGACACAGAGCAACCGTGGGAAGGGGTCAGTATGAGGGATGAATTTTGCAAGCGAGGTGGAAAGTGTTTGGTTTTCCTCGAAGCATGGGACGTCATCGATCATGGTATTCAAAATGTCTTTTGCACTGTACAAGTTTATGGAAAAAGATCGTATGCTGAAAAGTCTCAAAGCAAACTTTGTATTAAATACAAAAGTTCTTTTATGAAAAAAGCTGATACCCACAAAGTGCTTAGCAGTTAAGAGGCTGACGTACAATTAAATAAGCTCTCATTAAGTGGGATTACTAGTGCTGTTATTGTCTTGGGGGGAAAATAACCACCTTTTCTCACCTGTGATACTGTAGGGTTTCAGAATGGCTTTCTGTCTGGGAAAGCAAGACTTGCTGTCAAAAGGCTACAGTATATATTGCGACTACAGGAAGACAATTTGGTTTAAAAATCACACTGAATACATCTCAATATACACATCATAAGGTTCGTTCGGATCTAAATAGTGCAGAGAAAAAGGCTATTCTTCTTCAAAAATAAAAATAAAAGCAGCAAGCCATAATGATCCTCATCCAGTATGCCAACAGCTCATATGCTGCAATTTATAAGTAAATAAACTTCTAAATTACTAAAAAAAAAAAAAATCAACACAGTAGCATTTATAATATTGCAACACTACCTCAACCTCTGTCCAGACAGTGCCAAAGAGAACCTCTTTTTGAAATGCTCTTAGTAAACTCAAGCGAGTTTCATCGAGAGAAAAGTCTTCGACCAAAGCTGGGCGGACCCCGTCATCCTCGGGCCAGGCCCGCCGTTAGTGCTGTGAACCTAGGAAGCCTTCTCTCTTCCTCTCCCTGTGTCTACGGAGCACGGTGTTAAGCCCTCCGGATGGCTACTCCTCCTCGGTAGCGTTTGGCTTCTGCCTGAGCCTCCCGCGGTAGTGACATAATTGAGTGGAAACAGCAGGCAAAAATCAGAGCATGGCTATTGTAAAACATCAGGATGCAATCCAGGGAAGTGTCTGCTGGGCTGAGCTGTTTATATAACATCTCAGCCGCCAGTGTTCTTCAACCGTACAAATAGCCAAAGACGTTATCTACAGGTTTGTAAACAAATTACATTCTTGTTTTAGGACATAAATAAGTTAAAATAGAGCAATTTAAGCGGAAACAAGGCAACATGCCGGCAAAAAAAACTTTATATATCCGTGTGTGTGTGTGTGTGTGTGTATATGTATATATATATATATATATATATATATATATATACCTATCTATATGGACGTATACAGTCTTGGAAAAGTATACGTTGATATAGATACAAAGAAATGGATATAACCTCGTGAGTGTCTGTGAAGTTTTTCGGTTCCGTTGGTGCAAATTTACTAGGTGAGTTAAGCTCTGCAGTTTCAAAAAGTTGTTAAATTAATCTATACAACTGAGACCATGCTGTGCAAGCATTTCAAAAACTCACAGACCAGTGGATTGGATGTAGTCTCAGAAAAGAGTCTGTTTGCAGTTCCCGCCTAAGAAAACAAACAAAAAACCCTCCCCGACCCCCCCTCAAACCAAACCAGGGGAGGACTGGAAGTGTACAGTACATTCATGCAGGGGACGTGGTGGCCTGGCGGGTGCATGGCTGGTCCGTGTTTGGGTGGGAGCCAGGAAGGGCTTGTTCTGGGAAAATCGCTCACTCCCGTAAGCCCCCCCAGGAGATCCCGCCCCTTGCCTCAAAGTGTAAAAGAGTTCAAACAGCATCGCAGCCAGAAAAAGGGTCTGTTGGGTGGAAATGTTGGTTTTCTCGCCAGTTTTTGGTTTCCTGTTGTTGCTCCTTGCTGCTTGGGTGAGCTGGGTGCCTGGATGGGGTGGGGTGGGGTGCCCGGGGGGGGGTGGGTGGCGGCGGGGTCCTCAGCTAAAGCGACGTCTCCAGGCTGTGGATGGGGCTCCCTGGACTTGAAGAGGTAGCTGATTTGCTTGTGTCGGTCGTTAGGTTGATCCCGCTGTCGATGGCGCTGTTGTTCTTGTTGAGCGATGACGGAGGGCTCGAGTTCTGCTTGAGCGCGGCATCTTCTTCCAGGTCGGTGTCGTCAATGAGGGGGATGTGGGGCTGTGAATCTTCGATCCGGAATTCGGGGTGAGCCATGAAATTATGGATGGAGGTTCGAGACTCAGGCTTTTCTAGACCTTCATAGAGAGAGCTACGGAACGCCTTCACGACGCGAATCTGCAAGGGAAGCACAGGGGTGAGAAGCACTGCCCTGGGGGGGCGGGTGGCAGCCAAGCTTGGGGGGGGGGGGGCGGGGGGGGGGGGGGGGGGGGGGTTAGGGCACAGCGGGCGGCTGGAATCCACAGTCGCTGGGTGTTATGAGCATGGGCAGGAGGGGAAGAATGGAAGAGGGGGCTCAGGTTATATGCATCCATGAGGTTTTAAAAACTGCTTTGGTTTTGGTCGGAACTACAGTATTAGGACAGGAGGAATCAAGCCCCATCACAGAGATGGTGGGAAACAGTGGTTAGAGGAAGCATAGTCCACTCCGGCGGGCACCCAGACCTAGTGAGAGACTGAGCCTTGTTAACTTTAAAGCACAAGTTCAACCATGCAGAAGGGGAGTGGGACCAGGTGGGAATAAAGGAGGAAGGAGGAGAAGCTAGTTTTAGAACATTAATCTTAAGAAAACCACACGCAGTTAAGAAACCATACAACATGGAACAGATAACGTGTCACAAACAGAAAAGGAACGGAAAGGAGAGACAGTTGGATGAGCCGGGATGAGAGAAGACACACGAGGGTCAGAGAACAGGAACATCAAACCGAAGGCAGCAAGGCAAACCAAAGCCAACTCAGGGCTTTCCGGGGTGCAGAGCTGAGGCGGCCAGAAAGCACGGAGGAGCCGGCAGACTGACGACATTCAGGGGCGGGGAGCATGCCACGGTGAGGGGTCAGGAACCACACGGCACACACAGACAGACACGGCTACACTTGGAAGCCTGGACAATGTGAACGGAGGTCTTTGTACCCAACGTTTCTTTCCTTCATGCATTTGGGAGGTAAACACTCGAGTATAGACTCAAAGCCCTGGCCAGTCATTGGAGTTGACTTTGGGGTCCCTTATTTCCTGGGGCATTTTATTTCTTTGTTTGTGCTTTGAAAACACAGAACTCCCAAAAAGGAGGACAGAATCAGATGGCCAAACCCAGCCCTGGGTGGGATTCTAGGGGGGTGTGGACCTGAGCCACAAAAAAGCACATTCTTTCATTTTCTGTGTCTTAGTTGGAACCCGTGGTTTTCTGAAGAGTGTGAAAGGAAGCTGGACATCGAGTCTTCCAGGCTAGTGGAAGGAGCACTGGACTCGGAGTCAGGGAGACCCATGTCTGAAAAAGGCTCTGCCACTTTTGGTGCCTTGGCCGCGGGCAAGACACGCCGCCTCACTGGTTGCCCTCTGTCCTGCCTCACAGGGCGCAGAGGAACAGGACCCCCGTGCTGGAGAGAGGGGTCCCTTTCTCCAGACTCCTGGGAGGGGGAAGCTATGCCTATCATCTCAAGGGGCAGATGGGACTTGGGACAAAGGGATTTCCTCCTCTCTTCCTAGCCCCAACTCAGAGCGGAGGCAGTAGTGGGGGAATACAAAGCAGCCTCGGTGCGTCCAAGGAGCAGAGCCTCAGCCAAGTTGGCCATGGCGCCGAGGGTTCTCTCAATGGCCCTCCCTGCAGAGCAGTGCGTGCCTCCACACCACAGGCCTGTGGGGGCGGGGGGGGGGCAGAGGACCAGCGGGGTTCTTGTGGGGAGGCCCTTGTGGTCCCAGGATCTGTGGAACTCTCAGCCAAGCCCAGGGGTATCTTGGTGGGGCACAGGTGGGGAAAGCCCTGTCCATGGAAGTGAATTTTCTAGATGACTGTGGCTGATGGTTTTAAGTGTCCTAGCACAAGGTTTATTTTACTATTTTTCCGAGGGAAGTGTTTCTAAAGCACATGAGATGCTCCTCTGCCTTTTGGTTTAGTGTACACAGAGAAGAATGTAACGTTAAGTTGGTCAGTACTCCTTTCGGTCTTTTGTAAGACCCCAGAGTTTTGATTTTTTTTTTTTTTTTAAGTTTCTCTCTTTGGTTGTCAGCCATCATTACTTGTTCTGACTTTTCCTTGTTTGCTCAAAAGCATCTCTGTCCCGTTTCCCTCTTATGTGCTGTGTTCTGGGGACTCCAGGGGGCCCTGCTTCTTGGAATCATGCTTTAAATAAGAGGCATCAGGGGCCAAGAGGGAGCCTGCGGACGCCGTGACAGCCATGTGACTGCTCTGAGGCCTCTTCCTCCCTGGATACCCTGTCCATGGCTCTGTAGGGATTATTAAATATTCTGATCTCCTGATGAGCAGGCCATTACACCCTTGATTAAGTGAAACCAAAAAAAAAAAAAAAAGGTGTCGTGGGCCTCAGTTTTCCTATCTGTAAAATGGGAATAATGGTCATTGTAACTGTCCAGCCTCGTGCCCAGCATGTGCTGAGGCTGAATTGCAATAAGGTAGTGGAGGAGGAGGGATGGTGGTGGGACCCTGTCATGTGACTGAAGATGCAGAGGGCACGACACACAATGAGATGCAGGCCCCTTGCCCTCCCCCTGGCATGGAGACAACAGAAAGAATGAACTGCTCTGGACAAGACTGTGGGGACAAGACTTTTCGGGACACCCCGCCATGGTCATCTCAAGTGTCCACTTCGGTTCTCTCCGCGGCTGAAATGAAAAAAATATGGGAAGAAAAAAAGCTCTTCCGCCTCCCATCCCTGCCTACCCTAAAGTGAGATTTTGGGGCAGGAACTGTACTTGGTATGAGGGGAGGGGGGAGGGAAAAGGACCCGGCCTGTGGGATTTCAGACATTGTGGTTTCATCAGCACAAAGGGAACAGGAGACCCATGCCCCTGTCGGTCGGCTCTGAGGGATTGCCTCGGCCCTGGGCTGGGACGGGTTCGACATACTCGAATGTTTACCCGGCTTCAGGGAAGCCAAGAGTCTGGGATTGATTCACATTCATTTCAGGCTCAAGGTTAAAGACTCACAACCTCTTTTAATTTCACTCTCTCTTGCTGAACTCTGTCTCCAGGGTTCTCTAGCCCTCTAGGGAAACAAACACATGGAATATTCAGACAGTGGAGAGGTCTAGGCCCCACCCCAGAAACAAGCCATTTTCTCGCCAACCCAAGATTGCATTGAGTTTGTTACCAAAACGCTAATGAGAGGCATAGCTTTCTTTTCTTTCCGTCTTCATTTCTCCCTTAAGAGATGCGCACTCCTTGCCCTAGCAGTCCTTGGAATCAGGAAGGTGAAGGGCAAGTGGCAGTAGGAGATGGCCCCCTGGCTGGTCGTGGCCAGGAAGTGGCCGGTTCTGGGTTAGGAGTCTGATGTGCTTGGCCTGGTTGGTTCGAAGGAGGAGGACCTTCACTGACCAACACGGAGCCTGCTACAAAACTTGCTAAATACAAAAGTAGTTTGAGATGCGTTAGGAGTTTGAGGGGCATAAGCAGGAGCGGCAGGGGGCTTGGCCTTGGGTCACAGAGCCGAATGCTCATTTTGTCTTTGGTCACCAGTGGGAAGGTGCCCTTCGCCCCAGTCCTGGCCAGGCTGGTAGAAAGTCCAGCAGAGAAACCGCTTTCTTGGCCTTCTAGAGCCCAGAGGGTGGACCCCTTTCCACTTTGTGAGGCTGTGGGCATGGGCACTGGTTCTGGAATGGAAACTCAACCTCTGTAGGCTCCAGGGCTATGGGCTTGTCTGGAAAGTGGTTGCGGGACAGTGGGAAAATGAGGCGCTTCGGAGTCAGACCTCTCGCCGCTCACTTGTGTGATCGTGGCCAAGTCAGCCCAGTCCTCTGAGCCTCAGTGCTTTTCTCAGGGAAATGGATGTATTGGCAGGTCCCCTCTCCTATTTCCTTGGTGAGGCGTATGCGAAATGAAGGATGTGGGGGCTGCTTTGGAAAATGTTGAGTGAGGCTCAAGCATAAGGCCTTAGGGGTGTGCCTTTAAGTTTCTGGGGGAAAAAAAAAACTCACTTTTGTGTCAGTCAGAAGAGGAAAGCAAGACAGCGAACCAGAGTTCCCTCCCAAACATTCTGGGTGCGAGTGTGACCTGCCTGTCACGTCACCGCATGCATCTGTTTGCCTGGGGCCCTCCACCTCACAGTGGTGCCGGGGGAGGGATGGGATGGGGGGCTCCTCACCCCAAGGTCATGAGTCAGAAGTCCGCCCCAAGCAGACACTGCCCCACCACAGGCCTTGGTGGTCAACTCTGGGTAACACAGGGGACAGTGGTTTGACTCCTTCTAGGGTCTAAGATTACAGGTATTCTGGACTCAGCATGCACAGGGCCACCCTCCTCTGCTGGAGAATCCCCAGGGAGAAGTCCCTGCTCAGAGGAGGTGGGAGGCAGCCTACCTCTCCATCCCACCCAAGCCAGGACCCCTTCTCTTACTCTTGGCTACTGGTTTTACACCTCCCCGAGGGAAAAAAGCCTTTGACTCCTGAAGGGACCCTGCCTGGTAACTAGAGGGCCCTCAGAGTTCTTGGAGACTCGAGGAGGTATTGTTGTTATAGCAACTATTCAGGTGAAGGAGGAACGGGGGGTATTTATTTAGAGTTCACACTGTGACTGTATTGGTCAAAACGTGTGTGTTGAAGCCACAGGGGTTAGGATCCCTTTTGGAACCGGAACTCTTGGCTAGGGGGATGGTCAGGCTCCCACAAGACACCCCAAATTACGGTCTGGATTCTCTGGTAGAGGGTAGGAGTACAACATGTTCAAGGAGACAAGATGGCAGTTGGATGGAGGAATCATGCCTGGCCAGCCCCTTTAGGTCCTTGGAGAAAATAGAGGGTGGGTAGAAGTGACTGTCTCTCTGAAGGAGAAGTGCTGAAAACTGGGTGTCACTCAACTGGCCTTATTGAATAAGAAAAGGTGAGAATGATATTGCCCAGGTTTGAGATGACCGAGCTCCTTCTCTAGACTGTGGGAGCTAAGGCATGGGACTAAGCCACAGGAAGACTTCTAAAGGCTGCATGGGTGCCCAGAAATGCCAGGCAGGCTCTGGCTGTGGCCAGTGTGAAGCACCGTGCCTCAAAGAGGTCAGACCCAGCCAGAGGGATGTGGGAGTCACCAGGAGCCCAAAGAAATGGATTCTTTCCCCAGTGGCTCTCCAGACCGGAAACCTCCCTCCCCCTTTTTTAAAGTGATCTCTGTGCTCGAACCAGGATCAATAGTTGTATGCTCTACCAACTGAGCCAGGCAGGCACCCCCAGACTGGAACCCTTGGTCATTGCACTTCAAGAGAGCTGGTGGTGCTGAGCAAGGCCAGAGCTAAGTGAACGCAGGAGGAGGTCAGCTGGTTGAGGCTCTCTGCTGTAAGGGGCCGGGGGGGGGGGGGCGGCAGGATGGGACCAAAGTGTTTCTTGCCCTGAGAAAGCCTGGCAGTGACTTCCTAGTGACAGTCATGGCAATGTGACTTGGACCCAGTCTGCTCAAATAGATCTCCATTTCACCTTGGCTTGCCTGGCCACCCCCCCCCCATTGCTGGGTTTTTGTGCTAATGAATGAATCCAGAGGGCTTTTCTTCCCTTTTCTGCATCCTTCCTGTTACCCTGCCTACCTGGTGGGGCTGCAGCCCCTGAACAGTCATGAGATATGAGCATGGGCCAGCAATAGGCTCTCTGTGGCTCGTGTCTCCCATCCGAGGGCTCAGATGGCCCAGTTCCCACCTGGCATGCAGGTCCTCTCCAGCTCAGTGGGAGGGGATGTGTGTGGGGGGTGTACCGTGTTTGGATGGGGGTACAGGCACTGTATAAAGTATGGCGAGATGAAGTCCCAGGGCCTGTTCCTCATCAAAAGCCCGAGGGCTGGAACAGATGCATTGTGGCAATCTGAGAAGACCAGAACTAGGCGCTCCCCCGCAGTTTGGGAGGGGGCTGACTGGACACAAGGTAAGGGAGGCAGGTAGTAAATAGAGACTTCTTATTCCCTCTGGGTCCTGAAGCCATGGAGGGGTTCAGAAAGATCTAGAAGCCAGAGATGAGAGATCAGGTTAGAAGTGGTGCCATGAGGAGGTGAGCTTGGAAGGAGGGAGAAGATGGAGGCCAGAGTCCCCGGCTCTCCCTCAGATGAGTAAGGGCAGGAAACTACAGGTTGGACCAGATCCCTCATGGCCTGCTGGCATCCAGCCAAGATGTGAGACTTGGTTCACCGTTTTCTGCCTGAGATCAAGCTGAATGGGTAAGGAGCCCTGTCCTTTCTAGGAAGGGGTCAGACCTTCAGTGTGCAGGGCATAGTGTGTGTAAGGCAACTGATGCCATCAGATGTACAAGGGAAGAAGCAGAGGGTTCTGAACTACCGTGGCGGGGGCCTCTGGGCTGTGATCTCCTTCTCCCAGGCCTGGGACCCCTCCCCGACTGGGACCTCTAACCAATAGTGACCCCTCTCTTGGCCGGACCCCACTGTGACCCACTGTGACCTCTGATGGCCTTGAGCCGTGGTAACCCTTCGCCTAACTAACTATAAGACTCTGACCTCCTGGCCAACTCTGACCTTGACCTTGTGGGCCAGGCTTTTCCTGACTGAGTATGGCCCTAGACCAATTGGGATACCCCTTGCCGTCCTGGCTGACTGTTCCGCCTCGGCCGCTGTGACCCTCTAGTGGGCTGGAGCATTTGATCACTGGAAACTCCCCACCAGATGGTGATCCTTGACTGACCCAGACCTTTTTGGCCACTCTTGACCTTCACGACCCCCTGGCTGAGTGTTTAAGCCCCTGACCCTGACCCCAGCCAACCGTGGCCCACCAAGGGCTGGCCACCCCATGACTGGCTATGCTCTCCTGACCAATGGGGACCCTCCTCAATGGCTGTGGCCCCTCAGCCCCCTGGGCCTCGCCATGACCGGCTGCCCCCCGTGTCCTTGGGGCCCCGGCCCCTGCCCGCCCGGCGCTGGCGTCAGTGGCGCCCGAGGCAGTAAGGGTTCACACTCACGCCCAGCTGCAGCAGGAGGAAGGCTGGTCGGAGAGGAAAGAGCATTGGACAACGACACGCGACTAGGGCTAGAGAGATTGGCTACGTCCTGGCTCTGGCTGGTGACGGAGGACTGTCTCCGCAGGGCTCCCTGAAAGGAGGCCCCGCTCTTGAAAGTATTGACTACTTCAATCTGCAACGGAGGAGAGAACGAGACAAGTTGCGAGAAGAATGGACACACAGCTACACGACTGACAGGCGCAGCGCCACGAGCACAGCCGCAGCCATGGGACAAGGACAAGGTGACTTAAATCAAACAAAGACCACCAGACACACTCAAAGCCCCTGAAAGACGTCTGCTGGGCGCCAGGCCCCTCAGGGGGCCCCAGAGCCCCGGGCAGGGCTGGCCAAGGGGCCCCCGCGCTGGGGTTCTTGTCACGGAGGAGAACCCCCGCGGTGTCGGGAGGCTCTGGGCCCGACACCCGCTCCCCCCGCCGCCCCCAGCTCTCCGAGAGGGTTGTCTCCTGAACCTCGGTCACCCCGAAAACCGGGGGTGGGGGGCTGTGAATGCCAATGAGAGGATGCTGGGGGGTGCTCCGTGGGGTGTGAAGCAGCCCAGGTTACAGCGGGGTGCTAGGCACGGTCTGGGCAAGAGGCCCACCCTCCCTTGGTTTCCTAGTCCCTGAGTCCCTCATCCCACGTGGCTGTGAACAAACAGTGTGATCTAGAACTCCAGCCCGGGCAGAGGGCTGTGCGAGAGCGTGTGGCCTGTGGGTGGGGGCCACACGGTGGCGGCACAGGTGTCTGTCCTGGGGAGGAAATCCATCCCACGCATGGGCTTGGCGTGTGTGCCTTACTGTGCACGTACGTGTCTGTGTATGCGTGGGGAAAACCAAACTTGGCTTCCCAGAGTGGCCTCGATGCCCTGGTGGAAGCTGGAGGCCAGTGTCCGAAGGCCCCGGTGGGGGACATGTTACACATGTGCAGAGATGCCCGGACCTCATAGGCTGATGCCCCGGCCCGGGAGAATCTGGGGTTGGCCCTGGCCTTACACCTACTGGCGCCCAAGCCCTGCACCGCCCCTCCTGGTGGTGACCAGAGCCTGACCCTGACCAGAGCCCCACACTCACCTCAGCACTCAGGCCCCCTCCCCGCTTAGGGCATCCCCCCTGGAAACCCATGGTGGATGTGACCCCCAGTCTGACCCCTCGCAGGTCTGAGGGGTGAAATGGAAGTTTCCTGAAGAGGCCACAGCTTCTTTAGCAGCCACGGGAGTGTGTGTGTGGGGAGCATGGGTGTACCAAAGGCTGGCGAGGTGGTGAGAGCAGGGCTGGAGCCCCATCTCTGCGGGCCTGTGGGGTGGCATGGAGCACGCCCATCTCCATCCCCCGCCCGCCCCAGCTAGGTGTGGCCCAGCCCCGGGAGCCTCCTGTACCTGGGTCTGGATCCGATTCAGGCCTCGGAACCACAGGATCTGGCCTCGCCGCAGCTCCCTCTCGGCATGGTCTATCTCCTCCACGTCCTCATTGAGCTCCTCCTCCGGGATCTCCTCCTTCTGCGTGAGCCTGCCCGCCTCCTTGAGGAACTTGAGCCTGCTGGTCGGGATGGTAGCGATGACCTGCAGGGGGTCCAGGGTCAGGGTGATGGGGGCTGTCCCTCAGGTGGCCTCCTTCCCAACCTGCCACCCCACCGCCCCTCTCCCCACCCCCCACCACTTACCTAGTTAGGCTCGGCTCACTTCTTAACTCATCCTACCTGTTCCTCAACTCCATCTTTTATAACTTCTTATTGATTTGCTTTGTATTTCACTCACTCATCCAGAGTTGGGGGGCACAGTGGAAAATCTTGGCCTTTAGGAGTTGGACAGGTGTGACCTTGAATATCCGAGACCGTATAGGTCATGTGACCTTGGGTAAGTCATTTAACTTCTCGGAGCTCTGGTTTTCCTGTCTGTAAAACTGGGGGGCAATTCTCAGAGTTTGAGGATTAACTCTGAGTTTGAGGATTAAGCAAGATGGTGTGTCTAAGTTGCTGTGCATGAGCCTGGCCCACAGCTGGCCCTCAGGTCCTTGGGTTCATTCCTCCTGATCACTGGGTCTTGTGGTACCTGAGTGTGGGCAACAGGGGCTCAGGGCATGGGTACCATGGGGACAGCCAGTCTTGGGCATTCTGGGAATGGCTGCCTTCCCAGAAAGAGAAGGCAATATGAGAAGAGGATATGCTTTTATACTTAATCGTCCTCCAAAGGGCTTGTCCATGGGGCCGAGGTGTGAAAGGCAGGCCCTATGGGGAGGTTGAGGTGGCAAAGATCAGAGGCCCCTCTAGGGAGAGATGGGGGCTGGCCTGGACACTCAGCCTCATGGATTCCCTGGAGGTTTCAGCATTGTCCATTGGCATCATCCTCAGGCATTAGGAGTCTGCTCTCCAGATGCCAAGAGCTCCCTGAGGGTGTGGGCTCCAGCAGGATACAGATGCCCAGGGAATGGGGTTGCTAAGTCAGATCTAGTTTATCAACTTTCCAAAGAAGCTCCAAAGTTTAAAGAAGGACGTTTTGGATGAAACTAAATTTTCTTCTTTATCTTCTAGTTAATTTCTGCTACTGCAACTTCCCACTGTAGCCTGGAACAGCTCGAAGGCAAGAACAATGTCTCAGGCCAGTTGGGGGTCCCACTACCTGGGCAATGGAGCATCCTGGGAATAGAGCCCCTTTGCCCCAGATCTGGCTCCAGGTACTTCTCACAAGCACTGCATCCTTGGTCGGGCTGCAAGCAGTGAGTGCCGGGAAGTGTGTGTGTGTGTGTGTGTGTGTGTGTGTGTGTGTGTGTGTGTGTG